TCATATATATATATATATATATATATATATATATATATATATATATATATATATATATATATATATATATGTGTGTGTGTGTGTGTGTGTGTGTGTGTGTGTGTGTGTGTGCGTGTGTATTGATTAGTACGTATACGTGTACTTACGTTTTGGTGCACGACTAAAGTTTCGCCGGATTACCAGCTCATCGGGCACAAGATCTCGTATGGGAGTATCACTGCTACGTAGCTCAAAAATAAATTTGCACAGAAGTGTGTTAAATGCGATGCTGGTGAGTTACTTTAAAAAAATATTAGTAAAAAGTAAGAAGGATAAAAAAAATGATTACAAATTCAAAATTTATAATTAAAGACGCTGCTTTTGCGTAATCAATATAAAGTTGAGAGTTGAAGGAAATAGAAATGAATGAAAATAAAAAAAAATAATGACGATAAGGAAAGAAATGAAATAAATAAAAAGACATGTAGAAATGAGGATGAGCATAAGGAAAGTAATTATAATATATGCTAATAAAGATTAGTAAAATAACATAAACAGGTTAGAATGGGTTATGACAACTATATCCTAATAAAATAAGTATGTAAGGATATATATGTATATGTATATATATATATGTGTGTGTGTGTGTGTGTATGTGTGTGTGTGTGTGTGTCCGGTTAAGCTCCCTATGGAAAGGGGGTATTAAAAAAACAGCGGCTCCCACTGCTGTTAAGCATTACTCTTCAAGTATGAATTGAGTTCCCTGAGACGCTGGCGTATTCTGTATAGAAAAAAAAAGTGAAAATTCCCTTATTTGCTGCCGTGTGACAATAACTTAGATGTAAGATATCTTCCTGACGTCAAATATCAGTCGGGTTTCGATCCCGGCTTGAAACAATATGACGTCTAGCCTCACTGAGGAGATGTGAAACAGCGAAACAGTCTGTCTCATTGACTTTTGTTATATGTGCAGTATGTATTGAACGTGCCCAGTATCAGTGATAAAGCTAATAATTCAGCTTATATATATATATATATATATATATATATATATATATATATATATATATATATATATATATATATATATATACCCTGTTTGTAACAGCGAAATTGCCCATCCCACAAAATGTTTAATATCTAAAAGCCACTAAACCAGTTGGCTTTTTTTTTTTCCATAATTTCAGATGAGATGTTTAACCATCGTGACACCAGTTGTCAAAAGAATCATAGAAAAACCATTTAGGTTATTCAGCTAAAAAGAGAACAGGTTAAAACTGGTTTGTAACATAACCACTATATCTTCCCAAATGAGCAATGGTGAAAGGGAAAAAAAAACATTCAGGCATTCAGTAATTGTACCAACATTCATACTCTGGCCTTCATCTTCAAATTTCATTAAAAAAAACATCAAGAGAACAGTGAATATGTTTAAAAAATAGGAAGCACTAGAAAAGAAAATGGGATTAGGAAGTCACAAAATAAAAAGAAGTCAGCTATGTCAGTCGAAAGAGCAGTGATAATAATTGATAATGAAATCGTACGTGATACTCGTGAGGAACCTTGTTACTCCAGGACAGAAAGAAAGTTAGATAGGGCGAAGATCATGTTGAATAAGTTCAAAACTGATCCTAGAATTATATATATATATATATATATATATATATATATATATATATATGAAATTTATTTCAATCCTTCGTGAGCTTCACATCCTTAGCTATGATTAATTAATGATAAACATTTCATTTACATTCATGATCGATTTCATCACGATTTCATTCACGAGAGTCCAGTAGTGTTATAAAATCATTGGATACTTCCAGTAAGATATCTTTAATCATTTTTAAGATACAACTGTTACAAATACAACTGCTACAAAATCTACAATATTATTTTTACACGATTTGAACAAAATTTCCTACTACACCCGTTACACACACACACACACACACACACATATATATATATATATATATATATATATATATATATATATATATATATATATATATATGAGATGAAATCAAAGAAAATTTATTTTTACCTGATGTGGGGGTATAGGCTAAATAAATAAATAATTGTTATAATTCTTTTTCTATCCTTTGCAAATGATTCAAATTTTAGTATGTTATTATGGATGATAACGACTACCAGTTGTTAAAATTTCAGCTTTTCACAGTTGTTATTTCTAAAAAATATTAGGTTTTAAAATTTTGTCCCTTAGTTTTGGACGCTACTGTATGATATATATTTAATTACATACATACACACACACACACACACACACACACACACACACATATATATATATATATATATATATATATTATGGATACAATTATATATAGAGAATATATCTATAAATTTAGCACAAGTATGACTCTTCAATCCTCACTGGGTGCCCCATACATTCGTCTTTGTGCCACATGTAATCTATGGTTAGAAAATAATATATATATATATATATATATATATATATATATATATATTTGGTTTGATAGATGTGACTTGTCAGCTCTATCTCTGATATTGAGCGCTTTCTAATTAAGTACCGCGCATATAATATATAGATAATTATACATATATATATTTATTTATATTTATATACACTTTCACACACACACACACACACACACACACACACACATATATATATATATATATATATATATATATATATATATACTACATAATGTATGTATATAATTACACACACTTATATATATGACGTATGTATATAATTACATATATATATATATATATATATAATGTATGTATACAAATACATATATATAATATATTTATAATTGTACATATATATTATATATTTAATTGCATATATATAATATATATTTAATTACATATATAAATATATATATATATGATTAAATGTATATACAATATATATTATTTCATATATATAATTACATATATATATATATATATATATATATATATATATATATATGTGTGTGTGTGTGTGTGTGAAAAGTGTATATAAATATAAATAAATATATATATGTATAATTATCTATATATTATATGCGCGGTACTTAATTAGAAAGCGCTCAATATCAGAGATAGAGCTGACAAAGTCACATCTATCAAACCAAATATATATATATATATATATATATATATATATATGTGTGTGTGTGTGTGTGTGTGTGTGTGTGTGTGTGTGTGTGTGTATAAGATGAAGAAAGACCGAAAGGATAGTTGTGTGACATGTAGGAAAAGAAGAAAGGCTAATCGATGAAGCAAAATGAGATTGGAAAGTAAAAAGAACAAAAAAAAATCCTCTATGTTGTGTGAATCTACAGTTTGTTAGCGTCGCTATTAAAGAACAGACGGTGATACTTGAAAGGAGAATTGTTGGACTCCATGTTTCCCTTCTCAGAATGAATGATCCGGTGTTAATTAGGAAAACAAAACTTATAATACCGCACATTCAATCTAACTCGTAATAACCTGCGTATATTTAGCAGCGAGTCATTGTCCACGCTTCATCTGAAGCTAACAAGAGATCTCTAGAATTTCACATAGGACATTTGGCTTAGATGAACTCCATGTCATTATATTGCTGCTTCATAAAGGAAAAGACATTGCACTAAATTGAATTCTCAGAAGAACTCTTCGTTTGTAAGCTATCCCGATGAATTGAATCCGTGTTATTGCATCAAGAGAATTATGTCGACAAGCAGATAGCGCGTGTTTCCCCTGAGAATTAAGCGAATATATGAAAAGTGCTGTATCATGTTTGCGAAATTGTATTATCTGCAATCTCATGATAAATTGTTTTGTGGCATAATCGATTCATGTCGATCATTTAATGAAAGATAGCAAAATCCTGAATTTTCTATAGAAAATAAGAATTTTTGTCAAATTTTGACTTTCAAATCGACAAACTCATCTAAGCTCGAAAAGCGATTTGGAGGCCATTCTAGACAAAGAATGACCTGCAAGAATGTAGAATTTGCAGTGCCAGCGTTCAAGAAAATCGCAAAAGTCAGAAGAAGACTAATTAGAAAAATAATGTTGCAACCTATTAAGAAAAATCAAATTATTCCGTAATTCTGAAAATTCTTATATTTAGCTGAAAAAATGTATAACAAAGAAATACATATTTTACTCTTTTTATGAATTACAATTTTCTCATTGTCATTATGCACGTAATGGAGATATAAAAAATTAAAAAAAAACAGGTAGAGAAGTTTAAATATCTAATAATCGTTTTAACAGAGGAAAATGCGACACCGAGATCCGAACATACATTAGACTGACGAAAGAAACATTACAAAACCTAAGCAAGGTGTTGAGAAAAGAGATAGTTTCGTTAGAAACAAAGACAATACGTTAGATTGCTGTTATATCCATCCTCTTATATAACAATGAATGCTGGACAATCTCCCCACGGATGAGGAAAAACTAGAGACAGTAGAAATGTTATTTTACAGAACGACATTGTACTGAGATTTCCATTGAAGAGAGCGAGTAAGCAACAAGAAAAAATTATGACATCAGAAAGGAAGGGATAAAAATGACGGTAGTCCCAGTAATATCCGGCGTACTTGAAAACGTGATCAAACCTAATAATAGAAAACAAAAAGATTTTTTAGCTGAAATAGGACTGTCTAAACAGTCCTGAAGTCTACAATCACCCAGAGAAAATTCCTAGATATTTCAATGCATGCAAATGTGTAAAATAATAATAATTTACAGATTATTGGGTGCGGTAGCGCAAAGGACACTTAAAGAGAGAAATGTTGATTGATTGATTCGTTTTCTATGGCTTATCAACACTTTGCAGGTTATTTACAGCCAGAAAATATTTTAATGTGTAATAATGATTTAGTGATACAAGTTTTACTAATTAACCCATAGCTGGGGAGAGGACATATGCATTCATACCATTTCTCAAGGGTATTTGCATGTAAGACAATACAACAAACGCAACTGAAAATTGGATCTCGGCTCTCCGATTAACAATTCCGAACCGTTAACATCTGGACATCCAAGCTTCGTGGTATTCGCAAGCGGTCACCCATTTAGGTACTGACCAAGATCGGCATTGCTTAACTTCGATGATCGTACGTGAACCGATATATCTGCGCTATATGGCCGTCAGCCAAAAGAGAAATGAAATCTCTAACATCATTCCATACAAAGTGTATCAGAATAAACACTTACCAGGTGTTATTATTGGCAAACATAATCTTAAGAACATCTTAAATCCCGCAGATTATAGTGTGTTAATGGCAAACACTAAAAGAAACATAAAAGAGCCTGTAGATAGGGTGGCAAATGAATAGGAGGAGGATGGAATAAAGCTACCAATTCTAAGAAAACAGGATGTATGGTCGTTAGCAAGAGAGACACGCGAAATGCGAGTTACGAATTTGACACGTCAGAATCTTGCAAATACAAACACTTATGATGAGGTATTATAACAGACGACAGATCATTTAACACGGAAATCCGATGGTGCATTGCAATGTTGACAGATGCCGTCCAAAAGCTAAGCCAATTATTAAGAAACGTGAAAATCTCAATGAAAACTAAAAAAAAAAACGTCGAAAATTCTATGGAATATCGGTCCTCCGGTAATGCTTGACAATCTCCTCCCAGATGAAGAATACACTTGAAGTAGCAGAAATGTAGATTTGCAGGATAATACTGAGAATACGATGGACATAACTTGAAGAAAGTTTTAAATAAAATGGAAACAAGGAGCATTTAGTCAGAGAGAAGCAGCTGAAATGTCATCATAAGGAAGTGGGGGTTGAAGAATTTAGCACGCAGAGGAAGGTATTGAGAGTAAGAAGGAAACAGCGTCTAACCAACATAACAAGGTATATAGATAGCAGAACAGAAAATGGGAGTAATATAAAAGGATATACAGTATCTACAGTTACAAAGATAATGATATGTAGAGAACCGCGACGTTCCGGGTCCTGAAGTGATGTTAAAGTGAAGGAAAGATATCAAATGATATAAACGCGAAGAAAATATATTAAATTCATTAAAATATATTAAAACGAAACAAATATATTAAAGAAATTAAAGAAATTTAAATACATTAAAGCGAAATAATATATAGATATTTAAAGATATTAAAGCGAATAAATGCTATTAAAAATATAAAAGATTTAAAAATATATTAAAGTGAAGAAAAGATATTAAAACGAAGAAAATATATTAATTATCACAGATATTAAAAATATTAAAGCGAAGAATTATATTAAATCTATTAAAGCGAAGAAGAGATATTAAAGACATTAAAGGGAAGAGAATATATTAAAGATCTTAAAAGATACTAAAGTGAAGTTATTAAAAATAACAAAGATATAAAAATATATTAAAGGAAAGAAAAGTTATTAAAACGAAAATATATTAAAAATATTAAAGCAAAGAAAAAGTATTAAAGTTATTGAAAGATATTAAAAAGACGGAAATATATAAAAGGAAAGAAAAGCTATTAAAACGAAAATATATTAAAACATATTAAAGGAAAGAAAAGTTATTTAAACGAAAATATATTAAAAATATTAAAGAAAAGGTATTAAAATTATTAAAATATATTAAAAAGACGAAAATATATAAAAGCAAAGAAAAGCTATTAAAACGAAAATATATTAAAAAATAGTAAAGGAAAGAAAAGTTATTTAAACGAAAATATATTAAAAATATTAAAGCAAAGAAAAGGTATTAAAATTATTAAAAGATATTAAAAAGACGGAAATATATAAAAGCACAGAAAAGCTATTAAAACGAAAACATATTAAAAAATATTAAAGGAAAGAAAAGTTATTAAAACGAAAATATATTAAAAATATTAAAACAAAGAAAAGGTATTAAAGTTATTAAAAGATATTAAAAAAACGAAAATATATAAAAGCAAAGAAAAGCTATTAAAACGAAAACATATTAAATATATAAAAGCAAAGAAAAAGTATCAAAGTCATGAAAAGATATTAACGCAAAGATGAGATATGAAACATGTTAAAACGGAGAAAATTTATCAAAGAAGAAAATTAAATCGTTCATGTTTTAAAAAAAGAAATTAAACTATCAATCCTATAATTCCGAAATGAAAATACTTCCTTCCAGAATAACCACATAGTTTGTTTTTATTTATTTAATTAATTAATTTATTTATTTTATTTAATTTTCGGTCTCGTAACTGTTCTCTGTTTCTATTTGCAGTAAGGCCAAAGCAGAAAGACCATGGTATCGTGAGAACGATACCAGAAACGACATAGCTAAAAAGGCTTTCCAAGCCTTGATGACAGTCACTTTACGAAAACCAGACAGTCCAGCTTATAAGATGTTCTCGGAAGAAGTGAAAAAGCGAGCCCAGTCGAATGGAAGTAATTTCACGTATGGCGAAGAAGAGGTAAGTCATAAAAACTCATTTTCAGAATCTGGATCAAAGAGATTTTCAAATAGTTTTAATCATTGTATATTGATACTGAATAGTCGAGATGCCTGTTCAGGATCGATTGCATTAAAGATCCATCTTTGAACTTTCTCAAGAATCTTGAAATATACAGCAAGAGCACCAAATCAGATATGGCAACTGTATTCAATGGCCGGACGAATGGTAGATTTATAAATGTGTAAGATGCATTTTTAGTAAGAATCTTGAAATATACAGATACAAATCTGCACCCTGTGGAGAAGACACAGTTTTTCTTATACAAAGCTACGCTTACTACGGAAGAGGTTTATTCATCGCCTGTGTTATCATCCATTGTTTGCTCTCCTTAAATATTCAGCAAACATACTTACAAGCCAGTGGGTGCAATTTAACATCATGGGGGAATTCAAAAGCACACCTTTACACCATTTGCATTTTCACGCCAGGTGCCGTTTAACCAAACTACCGCTCAACTGCTATCGCTATCAAGACAAATTAAATGTGGTTTATTGGCGAGAAGTTTCAAAATCGGCTGGCACAACACTAAGATCTGCCTCTTAAAATTTCTAGCGACTCAGTGCTTTCTAGCTGAAACTTTAATCTACTTGTCATGTTATGTTTTTTTTCCGTTGAGACGATTGTAATTATCAGAAAAATAAGTACGAGGCATTACTTTCGTTTTGTCGTAGGCCAAAATAATAAAAATAGGAGACAATAATTTTGGATTGTAGTTTTCCGAATAAGATCTTTTTTTTATTAGCGCTAAAACTTTTTTACGAAAGCCTACTCTTCTCCCATGAAAATGCCAATCCTTTCAATACGCGAGCAACACAAAGAAGGCGCCATTTTGATTAAAATTCTACCAGACAGTAGACTATGAAAGTATGAGACACTATAGCGTATTGTTATAACATAGTACTTTTTTAACATTGATTATTTAACTTCAGTTCCTTTTTATATTTTTATTGTGAATTTTATGGCAACAATCATGTAGTTTTATAGTGGACAACGGTTATAAAAAATGGACTAGACTGGAACGAACATCCGAATTAACTTGTACAATTTGTCAGTGTGATTTCTAAGACAAGGATTTATTATTACTTATATTATTTGCTGTTGAATTTATGTCCTAATCATTTTTTTTGTTAACATCAAAACGTTTCGACTGTTATGCCCTAAGGTCATCTTAAGGTGTCTGTCAATCCAGGCAAACTTAGAGAGAATTTAGAACTGAAAGCTTGATTTAATTCATGGGGACTTATGCTTCTTGTTCTGCGTCTATACCTCGAGATGGCCCGTTCATTTCTTTTCTTTTAATAAAATTACTCGTCCTGTTTCTACAGAACCATACTCAAGAGGCACCAGGTGTGAGTTCGCTAATTTGATGGCTTATTGGTACTGCAGATTCAAACTTGAAATAGGGCTGGCGATAACAGCAGCTCAAAAGACTAAATCAGACAACGGAACGAGGTCAATCCACAAATTAAATAAAGCGTTATAATATAAAAGTTAGTGAAAGATGAAGAAGAGACTTGAATCAAATTTATATACAGAGTAAGTCTTCTGAAAGAGGACGGAAGTTTGACCCGGAAATTCAAAGACGCATAGGAATTGCGTAAGATACCTTCGAAAAACTAAGCAGAGTATTAAGAGATAGAAAAAAGACTTAACATAAGTTAATCACATAATAATTCAGTACTCTTTCCCTTTTTTTTTTAAAGGGAAGAGTACTGAACTGTTATGTGATATCTGTCCTCCTGTAAGACAGTGAATGCTGGATTGGGCATTCTCCTCATAGTTCAAGAAGAGACTTCCAGCAGCAGAAATGTTGTTCTACAGAAGGATGCTTAATATACCATCGTTCGAAAATGTGAGTAAAGACAACGTTTTGAGAAAATGGAAACAAAAAAGAAGCTTATAGTTAACATCAGTAAGAGATATTTGAAATTTCTAGAGGGCCTAATGAGGAAAGAGGGTTTGGAAAATCTGATACTCACAGTGCAGACTGAAGGAAAGAGAGATAGAGGAAAGTAAATCATAACATATTCAGTGAGCTTGAGTAAATAGATGAGAAACAATGTTTAGTAGAAATAACAGAAAAAGAAGATTTATTAAGATCTACAGGCGACAGGGAGCTGTGGAGAGCCATTATTTTGAGGGGACGTGGCACTTAAAAAAGAAGAAGGTAGATTAAATTTCAGATAGTTATCGTGTCAAATTCAATATGGCAGCGTGAATCTCAGATATTTAAGGATACTGGATACGAGTTCAAATCTCTTCTAAGATTACTAAATTATTTCAGACTGATTTCGTTGATTTAGAGGTCATGGGTGTTGCAATAAGAAAATAACAATGCGTGTGTGCGTTCCAAAAAGACAAAAATATAATTAAAAAAAAAAATCATAAACTTTCTAATCTGCAGGTCAAAGCCGAAATAACTATCCAAAAGTTCTTTCTTTTTGAAGTATACCGCTAGAATTTTTAAAACCTGTCTGGCTTCGTGAAAGATATGCCGAAAAACGAATGGAAACCTGTTTTTCTTATATTAACTCTTTCTTGAGTTTCATTGAGTTTCCCGCCAAAAAGTAATTTACGATGGCGTCGGTAATTGTACGATGAGCGGTTAAAATGAATTTGTTTTCTCTTAAACTATGGAGACTATCGAAATGCGAAAGCAAAGCAGAAAGAATTAAGCTGCCTCACCCAG